TACACATATACACCTTTACATATATGTATGTATATATATATGTGTGTATGTGTGTATGCGTATGACTATATATATACATACATACATACAAACAAACATGCAAACATACATACTTACATACATACATACATGCATACATACATACATACACACATACATACATACATACATACATACATACAGACAGACAGACAGACAGACATGCATACATACATACATATGTGTTTATATGTGTATAAATGTGTATATATATATGTAAATAAATATATATGTGTGTATATATATACCCAGACATGTTCGCGTCTTGAAAAATGCAGGACGGGAGGTTTGTCGCCGCGTTCGGCTTCTGGGGGCCCTCGCCGGGCCCCAGGGCCATCAAACAACGACGCAGGGTGAAAAGCCGGTCCCGGGGAAAGGGTCGGGACTTCTGGGGACGCCGTCCTGAAAAAATCCGGACGTCGCACGTCTGGGTGTGTGTGTATATATATATATATATATGTATATATATATATATATATATATAGAGAGAGAGAGAGAAATATATACAAGACTGCAGTGGCGCTTCGCGCCATGCACCTTGGTCCTTGAAGCTTGGCATGCAGGCGGGATAGTAGGAAGGCCAAGCCGACAATTTAGCGATAACTCCTTGTTGCCTTTTCCGGCATCATCACAGCTATGATCATGGGTTTCTTTATCCTTCATCCATGCTTCTTTTCCCTCATTTTCGCCATACCCTGCGCATTCTCCCCATCCTCCTCAGCTCTTTTTTTGCGGAGGCTCCTCCTTGGAGAGCCTCTGGGGGCCTCACAAAAGTTGTTTCAGGCTTTCTTATGGCCTTCTGGAGGCCTCCTGAGCGTAACTATTCTGGGGGCCTCTGGGGGCTTCCGCGGGCCACCCTGCCTCCAATCGAGGTCTCCCTGAACGACCGGGTCGCGATAGGGAATGCTTCGGAGGGTGTCTTGGGGCCATCTTGGGCCGCCACGGGGCTCTCTGAGGGCCATCTTGGACCCGTGTTGTGCCGTTTTGGGGCTCTCTTGGACTGCCTGGAAGCCCTTTTGGATGGTTGTGGGGCGTTTTTGGAGCCTCCCACGCGGCTTCGACGCACAGAAGACCGCCGTTTTGGAACGTCGGGAAGCCGAAAAGAAGAGGACCCCCAAATTCACCAGAAACCAACAGAAAATCGCCACGGCAGCCGGTCACCATAAGTTCGGCTGATGCCCTCGTGCGAGACGAAGGGCAACGCGGCAGACACACTGCCAGGTGGGCATCCTCGGACGGTCCAACACACCCCCAAAGACCACCTGGACAAAGCACCAGCCGAACCAGGAATAGGGACGGGAGGGCGGGCGAAAAACCAATCGTTTGGTTCACTGTCGCCACGGTTACCTTGTCCAGGCTATCCGCAGCGACCTGCGGGGGTTGGCTCGCCTTTTGGCTCGCCGTCGGCGAACCCGCCGTCGAGGGTCTTTCGCCGAGTCGCGTGGGTCTGCTCTGTCCAGGCAGGGCCCCGCCCCTTCTCCAGGGACTGCGGCTGCCGCGTGGGTTTGCCTTATCCAGGCAGGGGCCCGTTCCTTATCCAGGAACTGCGGCTGACTTGGGTTTGCCTTGTCCAGGCAGGGACCCGCTCCCTATCGGGGAGCCGAGCGTTTGCCGCGCGGGCTTGCCTTACCCAGGCAAGGGGCCCGTTCCTCATCCAGGAACTGCAGCCGCATTTGTGGGTTTGCCTTGTCCAGGCAGGGGCCCGCTCCCTATCGGGGAGCCGAGCTTTGCCTCGTTAGTTTGCATTGTCCGGGCAGGGGCCCGTCCCCTATCTAGGAACTGCGGCTGCCCTGGGTTTGCCTTGTCCAGGCAGGGACCCGCCCCCTTTCGGGGGGCCCAGCGCAGGCGCGGGCGCCTAGTGCACAAGGACCTTTTGCCCTCGGCACGGTTTTCCCTTGGCTCTCCTGGGCGGCGGCAGCAAAGCGGCGCCGGCGGCGAAGCGGCGGCGGCAAGGCGGCAGCGGCACAGCGGAGGAAGGCGGAGAGGCCGCACGCCCACAATTGTGGGCAGAAGGCGAATAAACAAAACAGGCTACGGTCCAGGAGCCCGCCCCTCGCGATTTTCCTGCCCCAGAAGCCAGAGATTTAAGGGTTATGAAAATCCCCACGGCAGCCGGTCACCATAAGTTCGGCTGATGCCCTCGCGCGAGACGAAGGGCAACGCGGCAGACGGACTGCCAGGTGGGCATCCTGGGACGGCCCAACACACCCCTATGCACCAGGAGGCGCACATGCAAACGCGTCTGCCTGCTCCAGGTTCTCAGGAAGCCTCGGAAACCTTCGAAACTCTGAGGCGGCGACATGCGGCAGCAGACGATGACAAAGCAAATCGTGCAACACTTTTTCCTCAATGTCCGATGCATGCGATCGTCTGTCAAGGCTCTGCCGCGTCGCTCGACTCAGAGTGGTCGGTTAACCACTCCGCGGCCGCCATCGCGCCGCGGCTCTCGGCGCTCGCATAGCCGAGCGATGCCACTCCACAGCCGCCACTGAAGAAGAGAGCTGTTGGCCCGCCGGCTCGCAACGCTTCGTCTGCGAAGCCGCGGCGGAAAGCGCGCGCGCCCCGCGCTTCGGGGGCGCGGTGCCCCAGCGCAGCGGCGCCCATCTTTAGCACGGCCAGCGCTTCAGCGCATTGCGCGTCTTCGAAGGGCCTGGCGCGCTCTCGCGCTGAGCGGAACAATGAGCATACTCCACGACGTTCTTCCTTGGAGCTCACAGATACATCTACGCCCGACACTGACTGGTGCGTTTTTCTACGGAGGAAAATCACCTCGCACCCCCTGCGGCCGGCCTGCGAGAACGAGATTGTCACTGCATCACTTCCAAGCTTCATGAGTTCACCATAGCGAAAGCAGAACTGCCCGGCGATCACCCGCGATTCTGCAAGCACCGGATAACCGGCCGCTTTCGTCCACGCGCGGAGTCTTCGCGCATCTTCGCCCGTGGCCCGCACCTCGGCCCGGCGAGCAGATGCAGGAGTGTGTTTTTTTATTTGAAAAATGTTCCCCCCCCCCATCATTTTGTGCGTGTGTGTGTGTGTGCGTTTTTTTCCTTTCAGCGCCTCTCATCAGCCGCCCCGCGTCTTCCAGAGCGCCCAAGGGGATCTCCAGCCGCCGGCAAACGCTCCGGATATGCGACGCGCACCTCTGCAATGACGATCCGTTCCTGAAGAAGCGGATGAAGAAGTGGAACACGGCGGGCGACGGAGGCCGGCATTTCCTGCCAGCTGTAGCTGCTGCTTCACCACAGAGGCGAACTGCCGAAGCGCACTGCGGGGCGCTCTTCCGCCACCCAGCAAACTCAACCCACATCGCGCGTTAATCGTACTCGACGGACGATCTGCCCGTCTGGCGGGCTCTCCTTGCCTCGACCATGGGCCTGTCCGCGGCCGCGCTTCCCGGGAAAGAATCCAGACGCCCCGGCGCGGTGATCGCAGCTGCCAAATCCCGAGGCGCGGGAATAATTTGCGCGCCCCAGGCGCTGCAGAACAGCTGCAAGGCCAACGCGCTGGCGCGCGCGCGGGCGCCCCCCGCCGGCGAAACCGCGCGGCCATCTGCCTTGGGGGAAGCTGCTGCCACTTGCCCCTCCTGCGCGCGGTAGTTTTGGCGGGGCGCGTCCGCTTCGCTGCGCCATTGGGGCCGGGTAAAGTTGCGGCAGCGTTCCAGCAGCTTCTCCATGAACACCACCGCGCAGGCTGTGAGTGGCGCAGCGATACTCTGCGCCTCGGTCGCCGCCGAGCCGCCCAGGTCACGCGGCGACAGGGGGCCTGTTTCGGCCAAGGCCGCTATTAGAGCTGCCACGCCCGTGCCCGCAGCGGTCTGCGAAGCCACGGCGCGCACCGCGGCGGCCAGACTCGATTCAGGGCCATCGCTGCTTGCAGACTCTCGCGTGGACCCTGCTGCACGGCTCTGGTTTTTGGATTCCGGAAACATCGCCTTGGGCCCAAAAGTGGCTCCGGATGGTGCTGCTGGCGTGACCCGGCGCAGACTGGCGACTGATGGCCCGCATTCTTTCTCGCGCTCGCAAGCGGTGGCCGCGCTACTTTTTCCTTCGGGCGCGCCACGGCGCGTCTCGCGGGAAAACCCATGCCACCTCGCGAAAACCATTTGCAACTAACGCATGTAGCTGCCCTGCCTTGGCTTGTGGACGAGTGGGTGCATCGGCCAGATTTAAATATGATGGCACGTGCCAAATGTGCAACAAATGGCCA